ATTTCAAGGGAAAAAAATTGTCAAACTTAAAAAAAAAACTTGACAATCTCAAAATAGAAATAGGAAATTTTGACGGAGGGGGGGGGGTAAGGTGATTTTAACTTTTTCCATATTTATAGCAAGGAAATATGGGAAAGAATTGGAAGTGAAAGGAAGTTGGCCTCGACGATTGAAGTTGACCACTACCCCCCCCCTCCCCACGATATAGGATTTTCGTTTGAGTTTGAGCAATTTGTCTTTTCTTTTTTTTTTTTTTGCTTGTCTACTTTTTTTGGTAAATAAAAAAATAGTCTCTGGTCCCCCCCCCCACTACTTTCAACGATGCTACGTGCCTGACAACGAAGTTTTTGATACGTCATGATATTAAAAGACTATTTCAATTTAATTTATTTTTTAAAAAATTGATGCGTTTTTATTTCTCTTTAATGTTTATTCGTTGAATAAATTCTTCCTATAGCTCATAAAGCAGTGGAAAGCGAGAAAAAAATCTGTACTGAAGCTGTATTTCTCTGGTGGAAAATCAAGTCGGGGTTGTTTGTTAGATGCTAACGGGAAATTCTAATATGCGAGGCTAAACTCAAGCTCTTGTTTCTGGGGGAAAAATATGGGACATATATGTTCATTACCGGTATTCTTTAATATTTTTAATTTTTTGACACGTATCCGCGTGATTTTACTACGCCCCTCCCATCCCCCGCCAAAAAAAAAAAACATTTAGGAAGGGTGTATAAAATGTTCCGATTTTTATTGAAACCGAGAGACATTAGTATAAATACATGTATATCATTAATGCACAGAGATTTTATATGAACGACATGCATTTCGCCAAGTAATGCACATATACCTTGTCCTGGAGTAATATTTATTGGGCCGCATTTTATTTCCGGAATTTTCAAAAAAATAAACTTTTCATTTCCGACAGTTTTTACATTTTAAAAGTTTAGACATTTGTCAAATTCATGTCAGCATTTTTCGGCAATGAAAAAAAATCATACTTCCATCATAAATAATATTATATAATACATATATACAATACCCTGTTAAAAATCTATTTCTATCTTTGTTATATATGTTAACTTTTAAGTTCCATAAAGGTATCTTTTAAAAAATCCAAAAATGTGAAAAAAAAATACAAATAAAAATGTCGAATTCCGAAATAACGAAAATGGTCGGAAAATGCAATGCAAAATTCAAGAAATGAAATGCAGAGATTTAGTAGATATAATTATTAGCCTTTGAATAGGTAAGAAACAGTGTAAACTTATAAAAACACGGGGGATATGGTACTTTAGGTTTTCTCAAACGAGACAATTATAGACTAACCCCTAACTGCCCAATCCGCAGGCATGTGGTTTTTACAATAACGGGTGTAGGGTAGTACACCGTGACATAAGCCTCTGTCACAGTGACCCCCCACTTATTGACAACAATATTAAACGTAAAGAATAACAGATTCAGAAGAACCTGAATTTTACACACAACCAGAGGAGCTAGACTGTTTAACTCGGTTAGAATATGATATGGATATTGAGTGAGTTATACCCCGGCATCTCTTGTTAGTAGCAAGAATTGGTCCTTTACAATTCAAAACTGGAAAAATTTCTTCATTTGGTTAAAAATCTGAATATTTGTGAAAGTATAAACTTGTAACATTTACAACTAGATTTATGAGTGTTATACAAGTACATATTATACATGCTGTACCCAGACAACAAATTATTATTTTCAGTTTTTTTGCATCATATTTATTCGTCATTTTGCTTCTTTTATTTTTTAAAAAAGATACAAAGGATGATCTAGAAAAGAAAAACATTTCATTTTATTAAGCGATAATGTATTTTTTTTTCATATTTCAAAGACCCCCCCCCCCCTCCCGACAGGTTTAACATGTTCATACTAGTTTATTTTTAGAATTTTTTTTTTCAACTGAAATTGAATAATGTATCCATGTGTTGGTGAATGAGTTATTTAATGTTTCAGTTGTTTATAAAGTTTGAACCCTCAATCAACATTAAAACATTTATTAGTTAAGAAAAGCTTTATGTACAACATATTCATAATCAACCACAGTGTGTTTTGTACTGATTTATATTTGTTTCAAATAAAAATGTTGAAAACTTATAAACACGTTTAAGTATTTATTTATTTTATGAAATAAACACGTTGAAGTGTTTAAAAATTGACCTATAAACATGTTTAAGTGATTATTATCTGTTGCATCGAATAAACATGTTTAAGCGTTTAAGTGTTTAGGTTGAACACGTTTATTTATTAAACATGAAATGTTTAAATTTTAAACACTCACGGTGTTTATTTAGTAAACTCTAAGTGTTTATTAAGTGTTTAATTAAGGTCTTCCGTTTCCAACGGAAGACCTTCTACTGATTCTGAAGATTAAAGGGTTTTTATCATGCATCATGATTTTTTGATATAACAAAGTTTATATGCTATTAAAATCTTCCATCAAAATTTTTTGTTAGAAAATTAATATTTTGGGTGTTTCAGCGATTCAAAGTTTAAATTTCTCAATATGCATATTTTGATCGCCGATTTTGCGCGCCATTGCTCTGACGTCATAGGTGTCAGTCCTGGTCAAGCGAAGTACTTATTGTGATTAAAAAACGGTTCAATGGCTTCGTCCATAAACCCCACTAGAAATTAAATAATTGATAATTGGTTAATTGATAGATAATTAGATATAATTTGTGGCGTTTGGATGAAAAATAAGCACAGGAAAGGTTTTAGGACGTTTTTTAGCTGCCAGGGACTTGGTCGGTACGAGGATATGTCTCCATTCAGCGCATTCGTTTATTTACGATCACAATTTTTTCTGTATTATATAAAATATCTATTTAATGGAAATATACTTTTCAAGAAAAAAAAATAATTTGTAAACATGCATTTTAAAAGTCCGGCACGCACATCATGCACTTAGAATTGTGAAGTGCGTAATGGCGCACGGCGCCATTGAAGATCGAAGTGTCCTTGCTGAAATGATATTCATTGCTGGACTAGATAGAAGATACACAAGATCTGTTTGTGTATAATTTATTAATATAACGAAGAAAGAAACCGAAAAACCACCATTTTTATAATTATTTAAGAATTCAAACGTTAATAATTCGATCTATTCAATCGAAGCCAGGAGTTGTCAAAGGCTTCGTCTTCAATGCCCTCTCCTCTTTTCACGGTATGTTTTTGTTTTTTCTATTTTAGTCAGCCCAATACATATAAGATTAAGCGTCCATAGCCAAAGTAATATTGTCAATATCAAATTTTTTTCCAACCTAGTGGTGTATTTTTTTTATTTCATGCAAAAATCTATCCGGTAGATGTTTTCTTACGATACGCTTTACGAGGTCTAATTGCTCATTGACACCTATGACGTTTCAGTACCACGTGACCCCTATCTAATTAGCGGAGATTTTCAATCTGAGGAGCCTACATTACGGATGTAAAATGGCTTAAATACGACAGTTTAAAACATTATTTCATAATTAAACGATAATTATATGTTTCAAGAATATTAGGGTCTTCCACTTCCTTCGGAAGACCCTACTGTTATTCTATTGTTTCTTATTATTCTTTTTTTTTTCCCGCTCGACTTTTGACAGGCGATTTCTCATAGACCTTTGAACTGATCGTTATGAAACTTTCAGGATAGATAGCTTGTAGTTAAACCTATTTAAACCTGTCTTCAGTTTTTTTATGCATGCCTTTATTTGTGAGTTATTGCCCTTTAATTGAAAATTTTTGATGTCTCGTTTCCACTGAAAATCTCAAAAATGACATAAGATATTTACACGAAAGTTGGAGAACTTGTAGCCAATACATTGTAGATGTGCACAACGATAAAATTATATAGCTGATTTCTTAAAGTTTGGAAGCTATAAAACGGCAAATTTTAGTAATTTTTTTTCTTTGAATTTTTGCTACTTTTTGTGTAATAACTTTTAAACCGAGAATAATTTGGTAAGAAATATATAACAAAAGTTGTGGGTAATTACGAGAGCTTTCATATTTGATTAACGAAAAGGGGCTGGCCCCTATAATTAGGGGTTAATAGCGCATACACGCTTTTTTCTGATAGCTAAAAATATTGGTATATTATGAAAAAGTTTGACTGAAATAATTTCGAACTTATAAAATCTTGTCATTTGATATAAAAAGAAATAAACTTCCAGCTATATTTAATTGTTTTTTTTATAAAACAAGTACATGTATGTGAGAAACCTTTCAGGAACAAGTTGTCTACTATAGCCAGCCAAGCCTTTACTGCATACATGTGCACATTTTTAGTTGATGCATCTAAAAGATATAGTTTTGATTCGGTGATTATTTGTTTTCTTTTTATTCAAATAATTTTAAAATGTGATGATGTACACAACAATAATTAGTACCTAGTTTAGAGGATTTTTTCGCGCTTGTTTGTAAACAACGCGCGGCATTGTGGGAAATAGGAATGTACTAAAGACGCGATGTACTAAACATTGATTTGACCTGATTCAAATTTGTCTGTAAATGTTCCAAACAATTAAATTTTTGTATAGCATATGCCTCGAAGTCATAAAGTCTGTACATAAGTAATTTAAAATACTCAATATTACCATTTAATTAAAAATTAAAACGTCAGGTAAATATCAGGTCTCTAGTATATCCCGTTTTTAGTGTGCCCCTTCGAGTCGACGTCGGCCACATGTTTGCCATGGTTTACAAACTGAAAATAGAATGATTTGTGAAGTTGAACATTTTCTCACAAAGACTCCGTTTGTAGACATGTACACTCATTTAATCTGCAGCTACGAAGTACTTTGTCACTTCTCTGGAACATTATTCTAAGCAGAATTATGCCGATTCATATATTCTAAGAATCTTGTGTGAATTGTTTATTTGTGTGTACCTATTGTCACTTATTTACTTAAGGAAATTCTTTAAATAAAATGACTGTGTTTATTTTATTTATATGCCATAATTCTGGAGAGGGTCACATTAACAAGGATGAACACTCTTGACTCTGCTTCGGATTCCCCAGTGATAATTGTATCGAGTGATGAAAGAGCTGACGGCGACATTTTAATGTATGATTGGCTTGGACCATTGGAATGAAGGTTAGAATATTTTTATTACTTAAATTTACACTACTAATTACATGACAGTGACATACATTGATGTTATTAGAAATACACAGACACACCGATATATTATCTGTTTTACAGTTCAGACGCTCTCTGTTTACCTTGTAAATCCCCACAGCTTTATATTTTATTTTTTTTTAATTTGAGGATGTAATTTCAACAGTCCTACTATCTATCATAGTGATCATACTCTATAATTCAAACTGCACTTAATGTTTCAGAATATATTCAACTAATTATATATTGACAGTGTGACTGTAAGGGTGAGGGCAGATACTTATTTAGTTTTAATTTAGATTGTGCTTGTCAAGCCGCATTTGACATTTGGTGCATCCATGCTCAGTGTTCACACTGAGAGTTTATTCAAATGTTTAATTCGAATGAATTCACTGCTCGTTAAATTACTTCCCATTAGCTCCATGTGAACATGAGTAAGGATAGCTAATTCAAATTAAATAGAAATGAATTTTGAATGTAGCTTAAACATTTTAAAGAAGCTAAGCACTGTGGGTCCAAAGTATACTGCGGAAAAATTGTGTGGAGCAATGTGCAAGTCACAATCTTCTTTTGCCAAGGTCTTATCATAAGAGCTCGCATTATGGGCAGGGATTTGTGCTGCTGTCTGGACTCGCTATAAATAGATGTTCTCAAAGAGTCTAAATTATTTAATATCATACTTTACTGACAAAAAAAGACAAATATTGCTCAGTTAAAACGAAAAGAAATTTGTTTAAAAAAAATGTAATAATAGAAAGTTTGCTTTTTTGTTTGATAAGACTGCTGTAATGGTTTAAAGCCATATATGGCGTAACTAATCAAAAAAATATATTTTTGAAAAATACAAAATTAAGTAAAGAACTATTGTTAATACATTCAAATTAAAGCTTTTCATACAATTCTGAACACGGAGAACACCTCGTCTCATTTAAAAATACAATTTTATCTTCTCTGTAGTGTGTTATTTAAATCTTTTGTATTTTCTTCCGATACGGAGAAAATTCCGAGAATCAAATTTAAATTGTGATATCTTTATAACGCAATTGACTTAGATTTTGTAATTTACGGAAAAGTTCTATCTTTATATAAAGTAATGATACAAATAATAAGTTCTTATAATTTTAGTCTAATAATTTTCATTGCACATACGCCATATATGGCTTTAATGTTTGTTTATTTGCCTTAATCATACATTTTTCAGTCATTTCATGGTGCCACCACTTGGGATGGTATTAGCTGCAAATATAGACTTGTACTTAGCACTTATTGCCTTTAAGAAGTATGAGATCCATTTTGTGCTAACACCTACCGTGACATAGAATCTTGGTTTATGCAGTCTCATAGGAGTAACCTGTCTAAAGCATTTAGCAATGGAATTGGAACCTGCGACGTAAGGTTCAGCTTCTTATTGATACTTTGATTGATAATATTTATTTGAGAATTTCACTCATTCACATACTTAGAGATGTTGATATATACTGTTGAATAGCATCAATTTAGACCTTTACTTAGCTAAGTAAACATGTACTGTGAGGTTTTTAAGGTCTCATTCATTTTATATGCCAGATGCATGTTAAGGAACATTACTGCATAAATGTTTTTGTCTTAAATTTGAAGCTCTTTACTAATATAGAGATATGTTACCATATAGTGTTAAACGTCTTCAAATTAGTGTAGACCTTTACTTTAAACTCAGCAATGTGAGTGTGTTGTGTGAACTTGTGTTAGCGAGACAGTGTGTTGTATGAATTTGTGTTAGCAAGGCAGTGTGTTTTGTAAACTTAATTGTGTTAGCCTGACAGTGGGTTGTGTGAATACTTGTTAGCTTGACGATGTGTTGCATAAACTCGTGTAAGCGAGACAGCGTGTTGTGTGAAATCGTGTTTAAAGTGTAAGTGTGACAGTGTGTTGTGTAAACTCGTGTTAGCTAGACAGAGTGTTGATTGAACTCGTATTAGCGAGACTTCGTGTTGTGTAAACTCGTGTTAGTGAGACTGCGTGTTGTGTAAACTCATGTTAGCGAGACAGCGTGTTGTGTGAACTCTTAATAACGAGACAGCATGTTGTGTGAATTCGTGTTAGCGTGACAGTGTGTTGTGTGAACTTGTGTTATCCTGAAAATTTGTCGTGTGAACTGGTGTTAGAGAGACAGTGTGTTGTGTGAACTCGTGTAAGCGAGATTGCATATTGTGTGAACTCGTGTTAGCGAGACTGCGTGTTATGTAAACTTGTGTTAGCGAGACAGCGTGTTGTGTGAACTCGTGTTAGCGATATTGCATGTTTTTTGAATTTGTGTTAGCGTGACAGTGTGTTGTGTAAACTTGTGTTAGCCTGACAGTGTGTTGTGTGAAATGGTATTTGGATGAGAGTATCTTGTGTGAAATGGTATTAGGATGACAGTGTGTTATCGCAACAGCGTTTGGTGCGAACTTGTGTTAGTGAATAGTGAGACAGCCTGTTTTGTGAATTTGTGTTAGCGTGACAGTGTGTTGTGTGAACTCGTGTTAGCCTGACAGTGTGTTGTGTGAAATGGTATTAGGATGACAGTGTGTTGTGTGAAAATGGTATTAGGATGACAGTGTGTTATCGCAACAGCGTTTGTTAGTGAATAGTGAGACAGCCTGTTTTGTGACTTTGTGTTAGCGTGACAGTGTATTGTGTAAACTTGTGTTAGCGTGACAGTGTATTGTGTAAACTCATGTTAGTGAGATTGCGTGTTGTGTAAACTCATGTTAGCATGACAGTGTGTTGTGTGAATTCATCTAAACGTGACAGTGTGTTGTGTGAACTTGTGTTAGCTAGACTGTGTGTTGTATGAACTCGTATTAGCGAGACTGCGTGTTGTGTAAACTTGTGTTAGCGAGACTACGTGTTGTGTGAACTTGTGTTAGCGAGACAGCGTGTTTGTGAATTCGTGTTTGCATGATAGTGTGTTGTGTGAACTCGTGTTAGCCTGATATTTTGTTGTGTGAAATTGTATTAGCGTGACAGTGTGTTGTGTGTTAGTGTGACAGCGAACTTGTGTTAGTGCGAAAGTGTTTTTCAGTGTTGTGATGGCGAGCTGTGTGATAGCCTAATGGCGTCTTTTGTGTCGGTAAGATGGCACGTTTTTTATGAAAGTGCTATTGAGCTTTAGCAAGTGGCCCTATCTGGACACGCCTTATTATTATAACTGATCAGTTCTCAGATATACAGTGAATTACCGGTATTATTGTCACCATGAAATCAGCATTTACAGTTGCAATTACCTAGTTAGTAATCATAAAATATTGGTTTGCCAGTTATTAAAATTATGGTGTTCCAATGATGTGGAGTTGCAGTGTGTTAGCATGTTAATTTCAACAGACTGCCACTCCAATGCAGCTTTAAACAACACGCTGCTGTGTTAACACAAAACAAAATATCATGCAAACACAACTCTAAACAATCTGTTGAGTGTTAGCTTCACTGCATGTTGGATTCAGTGTGCTGGCATATTATCACTGACGTACATTCTAGTACATTGTCACCTCGTGCTAGTACAAATGTATGTTGTCATAAATACTCTAGCACATTATCCTAGACCCGCTAGTGCATTATTACTTTGCACTTGTATGTTGTCTTATTAGGGGATAGCATAAATGACTGCCTTAATTGGTGTAAACTTCTTTTAATTGATGAAAGAGTACATTAAAATTTACAAATTATACACAGAAAATGTGACAATATCTTAGAACTCAATTTTATAATCTAATTTATAATCTCATGAATTGCATGTTTTATTGGTAAAAGAATTATAAATTAAAAAATTTCAATTTCTTTTGGATAGGTGTGACTCATCTGAATACTGAATTTTGATACCAAGCATGACCATGATTTGCCAGAAGATCATCTGTTTGGATGTGACATGGAATAAACAGCATAGTGAAAATAAGTCAAGTTTTGGTTTGTGACGACAACTTTTAAACACATTGTGTATCATTTTTAAATTTTGATTTGACAACATAAATCCACAAATATGAACATATCAATTGCTCTCAGTTTTTCAAGTGAAATAGTTTTTGTAACAGAAATACATGTACCAGTAATTACATTGGAATAAATGTTATTTTTAAATATAATAATATTTTGTTTGTGTTGCATGTTGACCTCTTTATTAAGGTCTTCCCTTTCAAAGTTTATACTTACTTATTCTAATGATTAAGATAGATCCTCTGTCTTCAGCAGGAATATAAGATCTTGTAATACATGTATGTGTATTTTTAGCTCTTCTGAGCCAAAGGCTCAAAGAGCTAATGCTATGGCCATTTGTGCGGTGTGCGTCGTGCGGTGTGCGTTTACTTTTTAGAATATGGGCCATAACTCAAGAACCCCTTGGCCAATCAGTGTCAAATTTGTCACAGGGTATCCTTGGCCCAAGGGCTACCATTTATACTAAATTAAGGGTTGGGACCCTGAATCAAGGGGAGATAATCAGGAAAACAAAACAAAAAGCACTGGTTGCTAAAAAATCTTCTTCTCCAGAACCACCAGGCAGATTTTCACCAAACTTACATACAAGGATCAGGATATGTTGAAGATTAAAAATTGTTCAAGGCATGACCCTGGGGCAAAGGGCCTGGTCTCAAGGTCACTTTAAAGTTGACCTAAATTTACAATTAATAAAAATGTTCATATTTTGCTTACTATAAGGACTAGGATCATCAAATCTTGTAAGTTTATGCATCTTAGGACTTCACATCATGTTAACTCATTGCGGGCATTTGTTTTCAAATTGATTTAAAGGCATATTTTGAATACTTTAAGGCCTATGATCATCAAACTTAGTCAGTTAATGCATCTTGGGTCCTTGAACAACGTCAACTTAAAAGTAGGTCACCGTGACCTACTTTTTGAACTTTATGACTTATCCTTTTCAAAACATTTAATCCCATTATTTCAGGCACTGAAAGGGTTAGAATCATCAAATCTTGTAAGTTGCTGCATCATGGGACCTTAAAACATATTTAAGAAAAATTAGGTCACTGTGACCTACTTTTAGAATTTTGCAGGCATTTGTTTTCAAATTGTTTAAAAGGCATATTTTGATTACCTTTAAACCTATGATCATCAAACTTGGTCAGGAGATGCATCTTGGAAATCTGAAAAATGTCGACCAAAATGTAGGTCACGGTGACCTACTTTCAACATTTTATGGCTTTATTTAAGTATCTTAGGTATTTATTGGCTTAGAATCATCAAACTTTGTGAGTTGATGCATCTTCGGTTTTCGGATTGTGACGACCAAAAATTAGGTAACAGTGACCTACTTTCGACATTTTATGGCTATATTTAAATATCTCCGGCACTTATTGGCTTAGAATCATCAAACTTTGTCAGTTGATGCATCTTGGGTTTTCAGTGAATTTCGACCAAAAAGTAGGTCACAGTGACCTACTTTTTGACATTTTATGGCTATATTTATGTATCTCTAGTACTTATTGGTTTAGAATCATCATACTTTGTCAGTTGAAGCATCTTTGGTTTTCGGAGAATTTCGACCAAAAAGTAGGTCATGGTGACCTACTTTTGAATATCTCAGGTATTTATTGGCTTAGAATTATCAAACTTGGTCAGCAGATGCATCTTAGGACTCTAAAAAATGTCAGCAAAAATGTAGGTCACGATGACCTACTTTCAACATTTTATGGCTATATTTAAGTATTCTCCAGTACTTATTGGCTTAGAATCATCAAACTTTGTCAGTTGATGCATCTTGGGTTTTCGGAGAATGTCAACCAAAAAGTATGTCACAGTGACCTACCTTTTGACATTTTATGGCTATATTTATGTATCTCTAGTACTTATAGATTTAGAATCATCATACTTTGTCAGTTGATGCATCATGGATTTTCGAAGAATGTCGACCTAAAAGTAGGTCATGGTGACCTTCTTTTGAATATCTCAGGTATTTATTGGCTTAGAATTTTCAAACTTGGTCAGCAGATGCATCTTGGGACTTTAAAAAATGTCTACCAAAATGCAGGTCACAATGACCTACTTTCGACATTTTATGGCTATATTTAAGTATCTCTGGTACTTAGTAGTTAAGAATCATCAAACTTTGTCAGTTGATGCATCTTTGGTTTTCTGAGAATGTTGACCAAAGAGTAAGTCACAGTGACCTACTTTTGAATATCTCAGGCTTAGAATTATCAAACTTTGTCACTTGATGCATTTTGTGATTTCCAAGAATGTAGACCAAAAAGGAGTTCTAATTGGCTAAGAATCATAAAACTTTGTCAGGTGATGCAACTTGGGTCTTTAATAGGATACTTAGGGTTAGAGGCTTCAAATACAAGTGATAGGTTGTACAATTTATCAGAAGAGCGATTCAAGGCCCTTGGGCCTCTTGTTACAGTATAATGTAAAAAAATTGTTATTTTGGCACATACAACTAAATAAAGGCATAAACATGTGTATGATTCCAAGGAATTCAATACATAGGGCATGTACATGTAGTTTTCTAAAACAAGATTGAAGAGATGTCCAGTCGCATTTCAATGTCAACTGCAAAACTGTGCCTGTTGCATACTTATTAGCCCATCTGAGCTAAAGGAACCAGTAAATTTTTTAAAAACATAATTTTGTCCATTATCATCATTGTCTAAAATTTCACAATATCATTTTCCAGAACCAAAGTGAAACTTGGCACAGAGCATCCTTAGTGTAGGGGATTCAAATTGTTCTTATGCAGGGCAATACTTTCAAAGAGATTTGTTTCTTTAATGCTGTAAATGTACATGTATTATATTTAGCTTGTACAATATTTGGTGGAAATTGACTTTTGAATAAGTTAGCGTAGATATTCTTATTTATGTTTATGTACAAGACTTTTAGCTTTGTACTTGATTTAGTGATTGCTGCATCTGCAAAAGCCGCTAAAAAAGAATACACAGCCATATGTAATATGTTTACAATATAC